GTGTTATTGTGTGACTTGTCGTTTGTGTTCACCAACCACAGCAGCCTTCAATAAAAGATTTTAATCTGCATTTCCCCAATATTTTGAGCACAGTGACGTGTGACGGGCAGCTCGGCCGTGTCTTTGTGTGCTGAGCGGGCCTTCAGAGCCTGATGTCCCTGTGTCTCTGTCAGTGTGCCCGCTTTGCCAGCAGTGCCTGGTGGACCTTTCTCTGACTGACACAGCTGTGCGGGAGACATTACACACACACACAAATGTTTGCGCATGCACACACAAACACACACTGAGAGATTGCATCATGGTTTCACTGCAACCCCCCCCTCCATAGCTACCATCTTGTCTTGGTGAAGTCACTTTAGCCTGACGCACTCGCAACTCAAAGCCAGCACGCATGCTCTGTGTCGCAGTGCATTCACAACTGCACCCTCACACTCACACACACACAAATGGATAAAGCAAACTGTATATTTCATCTTTGCACTTTGATTAACTTTGATGAACATATGCAAGTTTAGGTTAAAAGGTTAGATTTGATTTGCTCAGTTTTGCAAGAATAGCTAAATTAAAGACATTCACCAAGATAATCAGCCTTGAATAGTTTATATTTAGTGATTCTACCACTACACCTGTGTGTGTCTACAACAAACACACAGTGAAGTGTGTGGTATTGAGAAGGCTCAAGTGCAGTGAGTTGAGAATGCTGACGTCACTGCACCCCGTCTCACTGGAGCTCGACGCTGCTGCCACCTTCTGGTCATATTGTAGAGCTACACTGTTTAAATTCTGTTCAGTTTGTGATCCTAAACCAGGAAGTGTACAATATACTAATAAAATATTGTTTTGTTTATTGAAAATAATATTGTTTAACCTGTTAAATGTAACTGGCCCACTGGTGAGCCCACTTGTTATTACATGTTTATAACAGTAATATCTTAGTCTAAATCTAAAGTGATCTTGACAAACTATATATCATTTGAAAGCTTAAAGACTCTAATTTTCATATTTGGTGACTGGCTTATTCATTTTACCGATATATTTAACAGAGCAACCGTAATTTACACTGAACAAAATTATAAACGCAACACTTGTTTTTGCCCCCTTTTGTTCAGTGTATTAATTTGCAGCAAGAGTACTCATCAGAGTCAGAGAGCGTGAGTTCTGACTTTTATTTTGAAATAGCTATGTACATGTAAAATCGTGAAAAAAACGGTAAACCCCTCTGTTAATTTTCATGCCAATTGTTCAAAAGATAACATCCATTCTATTTCTTGAGAAAAAAACGTGTAAAGTGTTTACATAAGTGAATATAAACCCCCCATTCTCTGTGAGCTGTAAGGCACATCCAGGGTTTCCAACACATGTTTGTTAGAATATTTATGAAGTAGTTTGTCTATAGTACTAAGAATGGAAAAAATATATTTCAGATCACTCAGACTATAAATGGAAATGGGGCGTCCTTATATGGTCACTAATGAAGCTTGAGTCATCAAGTGGAAAAGTTTGGTGTGCCCAAACAAAATCTTACTGAAAGATTTTATTTATTATTATTTTTTTGGGGGGGGGATATCAACCTTAAATTTGGAACTTGTTCAGATTTTTTTTTAGAGTTCAACCTGTTTTGTAAAACAAATATATGTTTTATGTAAAATATAAAAATTTATATTTTTGCATTTTATGTTTTCATAAACATAAACTTCCATAACTTTTTTGTGATTTAATTTGTATAACTTTTTTCACTTCTACAATAATCTGCCATGTGTCTTCTTTAAAAAGAGACCAAACTTAAGTGGAACCGACAGTTAACAGGTTAATAAATGATAGTATTATTAATAAACAGAATTAACCATTTTTAATTTTTAACAATGTTATTAAAAGAGTGGCACATTAGTATTCACTTACTGAATACTGTTGTGCTTTGAACTGCTCGTTCATTTTGGAACTATATCAACTATTTTAAAACTACAAATTAAGAAACAGGCAGTCTTCGATCTGAGACAAGTAAGTGAGACACTGTAAATACATTTATCTAAAGTCAGGCTGTAATAGACTAATATTATACTAATGTAATAGAATAATCATGTAAATTATGTTCAGTTTCTTGTACAGACTCTTTTGCATTCATAACACCTCAATATGTCATCAGGAGTCATGGGTATTCATTTTGTGTTGCCTGGTATAATTTTTTTGACTCTCAAAGTCCTGGTACCTGCTGACTTGCATTTTATGAATCAACAAGCACCACATATGGTTTCAGGTAAAAATCTCAACAAGTCATCTACATCTTGGATGGCCTGAGGGTGAGTAAATTAACAGCAAATGTTCATTTTTGGGTGAACTAGTCCTTTAATCAGGTTAGATGACATACTGAATTTAACGAGGACATGAATGAAAACGAGGCAGTGAGGAACTCTTTAATGGAGTTTTTATTTAGCCTATAAGTTTGTGCTTGTCAGCTGAACGATCGGAACAATGTTGTTAAACAACAGCACAATCCATTGAATGCACTGTACTTCTATCCCTTACAGCCTCATTTTCATTCCTGACAAAAATTAAATATGTGGTTACCCTGACTAACTAACTAATTAACGTGAACTTGTGTTTTTGTAAGTTAATATTAGACCAGTGAAAATAATAGCCTGTGAATTTTAGGCATCTGGAGTTTTGCAGACAGGAACACGATATTAAATAACCTAATATTTAGAGCAAAAAAGCACAAAAACACAAGCTTACTGTATTTTATTTTTTGAAAAAAGAGTGCAAAACATATGACATACCAGTATGTACAGCACATACTAAAAGGATGCAATCACGTGACCTCGTCCACCTCATATATCATCATCCGTTTAGGGGTAACTATTTACAAAACGAAATAGTCACACATTTAGCTTTACAGTAGAGAAACCAAACACAAGTTACAGTCCTAGACCAGCAGGCCTTATTAAAAAATGTTCAAAAGGTTCAAAACTTGCTCCCATTTATTATTTTTTAGCTTACTAAACAGAGCCCTCTGCTGGCTAAACGTGAAATTGCATATGATCCACTTTTCATCCCATAATGCTTCCCTATCTGTGAAAGACAGCATCATCTACTTTCAGATGTGCGTTTATTAAGATACCTGAAAAATGCCTTCAGAAAATTCCCTGGAAATGTGCACTGATAGACTGGGTGTGAAGCATAGCAGCCTGTATATGATACACAATAGATCGCGTTAGAACCAGGTACCTACAACTTTTTCTGTTTATGGTACCCAGAAATAAGGGTAGAACATTTACACTGCTGATAGAGGTATATGTATGTGACTTTGGGTTTTGTTTGGCTTAATCTACCAGAATATGAAAACAGTATTCTACTAATACGTGTTTTTGAATTTAATGAACATGTTGCTATTATTAGCTGAACTCTTTCAAACTTTGTTTTTCCGCTGGAACTTGATGAAAATGTGAATGGTACTCGTACAAAAGTCACTGCCAGGATGTCATGGTGTTGCTGTGCAGCTACTAGGGTGTTGCTATGGTGTTTTGGGTGGCTACTTGCTGGCCTAAATCAAAAGAGCCCACATTCAATCCCTCATCCAGCTCTATGGGATTTTTTAGTTCTTTTATTATATCCACCTAAGTGAAAATTGAATTTATGATAACTTAAAGTAGCCCACCTTTCCTTAAAAGATTTATGAGGTATAATTCATATCTGTTGGACAAACGGATGATTTATGCAGCAAAATAGGCAGTTTTAGTAAAACTCCTAATCTTAAATATGATCAGTATGCATTAGCATGAACCACTAACACTATGATCCTCCATATATTAGTTTGTAACTTATTGCCATAACATTACTTTGAATGTTTGAATGAAAAATCAAACGTCTTTGCTGATTTGCAATGGATGATCTGGGCATGGACTTGATCTGTAAAGTCTGGCTATATGGGTGTCTTAAATAATTTAATACAAACTGCACTCTAAAAAATGCTGGGTTAAATACAACCCAGTGCTGGGTAAAATATGGACAAACCCAGCAATTGCGTTGTTTTGACCAAGCGGTTGGGTTAAATGTTTAACCCAACCTTCTGGGTAGTAACCCAACCGCTGGGTCAAAATAACCCAATTGCTGGGTTTGTCCCTATTTTACCCAGCACTGGGTTGTATTTAACCCAGCATTTTTTAGAGTGTGACATTCATTGTGATCCAGTCTCATTGAGAATATACATTATGTATCTAAAAGACAGCGTCTCTGTCATGAAAGATATTAAAGCGGTCATATCATGATTTTTGCTATTTTAATTTTCTTAAAGTCCAAACAATCATAATTAAGTTTTTTATGTCCATTTCCACCCTCTTTCTGATGTTGGAATTAAACAGGCTGTTTTTGTGCTGCTGTGCCTTTAAGACTTTATGCAAATGACCTTCTTCGTATATGAAATGAGAAACACATGAGCTGTGGGGTTGCTAATATAATGTAACTGATTCATAAAACAATGCTGAAAATGAACTTGTTTTCAACACTGGGATCCTTTAGAAGGATCTGCAGAGCTGTAGGTGCTACACACAGCCAAAAACAGCACAATATGTGGTGGGTTTTACTAGTTTCACAATTTTACTCTTATCATTAGCTCTTCTGGTGTTTAGCAGAATGACTGCACACCCAATATGTGATGTTGATGTGTAAAGTGGGTGGCCATATGCTAATGACCTTGAGTTTCAGATGCCAAAATCTCATTTTGCTATTTAGTTTCAATAAATGCATATTTTTAGCACTGGATTTTTAAATTCTGATAGTTATAATGAACTCTGTATTTACAAATAAGGAAAATTTCATTCCTCATGATATGACCCCTTTAGACAAAAAAAAACAAACAAAAAAAAAACTCAGAATGACAGAAAGAGAGGAAAGAAAACAGTATGTCTTCTATCTATCTTACACTTCTTCTCTAACACATACAGACACCAAAGCGCTCTGAGCAGCAATGCTGTCAGAGAGTGTGAATGTGAGCATCTGTTAGACACTCATTAAAAATGAAGGCCCAAGTCCTCACAGTAACTGTCGACTCCATTTCTATCGATAAAGCCATGACAACAGCGAAAAAACACAGAAGTGAACCCAAAAAATGAGCCTAAAAATAAGACTCTTTATCCAGTAGACATCTGTTTGAATTCATGATTTGGCAACTTACATTCAGACATTTGAAAAGTGAGTGTGTGTTCAGTCTATTCCAGCAATAAATCATGACTATGTTAAGTCAATGCAGTCTCATCTCCGGTACAGAGACACGTCACTTCTGCAAGACATCTTTGCTTTTTATCGACATAAAAGCTGATGGAAACTAAATCATGGATTCACATAAAACAGGATTCAGACCCATTTGGGTTAAAGTCAATGTGCACTTCATCACATTCTCTCTTTTTGAAAAGGAAGTGCCCTTGATCACCACTGAAGAAGAGATTTTGGCTTTAGATTTGTATTTCATTCCATTGCTGCAGTTCACGACTGTGTTCTTTAGGAGGCGCTATCATGCTCGCATAAAGCCTGTTCCCTTTTGTGCCTTGTTTTGCAGAGCGAGTCCCTCATTGTCATATTCTCCGGCTCCCCCCCAAAAAGCATGGTGCGGTCCAGGAGTAGGAGTGACAGGAAGGTCAGGGATCATACCATTTGTGGGTGCGGGGGTGCTATAATTCACTGTGTCGTACAGGAGGTTCTAGCTTGTGGGACAAAGCGGTGAGGACTTTGTCAAACTTCTCATAGCGCTCGGCCTGGCTTCCTTCAGAGCCACGGCTGCCCCATAAAAGCCTCATCTGAAACTCTGTACAGAAGATTTCCAGCACCTCCTTCCGCTCCTGGAAATCTGTGTGGAGATTGTGAACACCACATAAAGTATGTGGACTAGAAAATAGGACTAGTGCACTGCAGTCCAAATTAAAGTATATGCCTGAATGTTATATTGTATATATCTTCAAAGTGTACATCCATGCATGCTTTTTAGGCTAACTTTAGTAAATTATTATTTATTAAGTTAAGTTGAATAATTGTGTCTAATATTAAATGCTTGGATTTTATATTTGAATTGTAACACAGGTTAATAGTTTACCCTGAAGCTTGCTCTCAGTGTTGGTGCGATACAGTCCTCCGTGGTGAGCGATGGTTCGAGCTGCTTCCAGGTGACTCATGACCACATCCACTCCAGACTCCACACTCTCCCAGGACTCCAGCGCCTCGCCTGCCGCCACACCGCGCTCCAGCAGCGACAACACCGGCACCACGTGAGGGAAAGAGGTGTTCGAAAGGACACAGCTCTCTGAAAGATTAAGAAATAATTAAAATTATAAATAAATAAATATTAAAAAACAGTTGGAACTACTGGGGGATTTGTGACCCTGGAACACAAAACCAGTATTAAGTGTCAATTTTTTCGAAATTGAGATTTATACATCATCTGAAAGCTGAATAAATAAGCTTTCCATTGATGTATGGTTTGTTAGGATAGGACAATATTTGGCCGAGATACAACTATTTGAAAATCTGGAATCTGAGGGTGCAAAAAATCTAAATATTAAGAAAATCACCTTTAAAGTTGTCCAAATGAAGTTCTTAGCAATGCATATTACTAATCAAAAATGAAGTTTTGATATATTTACAGTAGGAAATTTACAAAATATCTTCATGGAACATGATCTTTACTTAATATCCTAATGATTTTTGGCATAAAAGAAAAATAAATTATTTTGACCCATACAATGTTATTTTTGGCTATTGCTACAAATATACCCGTGCTACTTAAGACTGGTTTTGTGCTCCAGGGTCACATTTGTGATTTATATAATTATATAATTGCCAGTGCCAAATTAAATAAAAGATTGATAAGTAAAAATGAAAATATAAAAAACAAAATTAAATAATAAATGAGTAAAATCAAAATATTCTCTGATATTTTATTACATTCATTATATTTCTTTTATTATCAACTATATTTATTTAAAAAAAATATTATCAGATGGTATTTCAAATAAATAATTTACATGAACGTGAATTCAAATACAGGAAAGTTAATAAATAAAACAATAAATCTTGTAAATTACATCAACATTAATTGTAATGAATATGAATTCCATTAATCTTAGGAATTAGTGGTTGATTTTCTTTATTTTTTTTTTGATGGTTTATGTCAGTATCAGTATCTTATATCATATATAAAAAATATACAGTATATTATATTACACAATTTAATTTAAATAATATGCATAATTGCTGCAATAAATTTGTTTAATTTTACTTAAAAATATAACTAAAAAAATAAATTTATGCTTTAGCAACCGTGCGCACTGGGAATAATATTTTCTCAAATAAAGACCAGTTAACACTAATTTTACATACAGAACACAATAACATACGACATGAATATGACATAATGGCAAACTGGATATAACGCAGCATATGAAATCAAGAATTGAACACTCATGCGTGCACTCAGGCTTTGGTTGGTTTCTTATCTCTATCAAAATAAAAGTCCCACTGCTTTCAAAATAAAAGCTACCTCTGACACTTATCGGCCAAAGAGAAAAATTAATCGGCCAATACCGATAATTTAAAAATGCCTTTGGAGATATATATCGGTCAACCACTATCAAAGATAACACTCATGTGTGCACTCAGGCTTTGGTTGGTTTCTTATCTCTATCAAAATAAAAGTCCCACTGCTTTCAAAATAAAAGCTACCTCTGACACTTATCGGCCAAAGAGAAAAATTAATCGGCCAATACCGATAATTTAAAAATGCCTTTGGAGATATATATCGGTCAACCACTATCAAGAATAACACTATATTGTTCATGTGATTTTACCAATTGCTTAGGATTTGCTACTGTCACTAATAATAAACGTTCTGTAGTGAAGAACATTAACAGCATTTCGTCATTAAAGAACATTGTTTAAGACACCCTGTTCTACCTTTCCCATCAGTCATGGCCTTCAGGAATGGCTTGAGTTTCTTCTCATAGAGGATGGCGCCTTCTGTGTGTCTCTGTCGCAGTGTTATCCATGTCTGCTCCAGCCGTGAGATCTACACCAAACATCACAGAATATACAGAAATATATAACTGTAATATATCCGGAGCTACTTCATAGCTGTGCGTTTACTGGAAAATAATTGCAACCTTAGAACGATCAGCACGAGTTAAATAATACATCTAAATAATACTATTCTGATATACAAATTATTACTATGCATTACTATTGTTTTTAAACTTGCTATTAAACTTTGGCATTTAAACCATGAATGACACCTCATATGCTGTGGTCTGAGAGGACAGGTGTGCGTTCTCACCTGCGGCAGCTCCAGCGCTCTCATGACTGCAGCAAATCCGTACATATTGCCCATATTGCTCTTGAGTTCAGCAGCCAGCTGGATGGTTTTATGCAGGAGGGCGGCTCTCTCCTCTGTGCTGCCCGTACAACCCAACAAATCCACCGCCATCATTATAGACATGGTGTAAAACCTGTTGAACAAGAGACAAAGAAAGCAGAACACAGCTGATCACGCAAATATATTCAATACAGCTGCAATGATACAGGACAAGTTGCTAGAAAACATTTTTTTTTTAATCTAATACTGTATCTCTGTAAATCGTATGATGGCTTGTTTTATATATATGTATGTTTTTAGATTTATATGAGTATTGCTGTGTTCATTTTCAGCTTACACACTAATGTTCAAATATTTGGAGTTGGTAAGATTTTGTAATATTTTTGTCTCTTATGCTCACCAAAGCAGCGTTTATTTGATCAAAAATACAGTAATATTGCAAAATATTATTAACATAATAACACTGTTTTGTATTTTAATTTATTTCAACATGTAATTAATTTCTATGATGCAAAGCTAAATTTACAGCATCATTACTCCAGTCTTCAGTGTCACATGATCCTTCAGAAATCATTCTAATATGCTGATTTGATGCTCAAGAAACATGCACAATTATTATTATCAATGTTGAAAACAGTTGTGCTGCTTAATATTTTTTGCGTATTTTGTGTTTGGACAATTATAAATGTCTTTACTGACACTGTTGATATATTTATTGCATCCTTGCTTAATAAAAGTATTCATTTCATACTTCTTATTTCAAAGAAAAAAACATATTACTGACTCCAAACTTGGTTTGTGTTCTTGCTATACTTTTATGAAAAAGTTAAATACTAAATAACATAATAACATCAGTATTAAGTTATATATATATATATATTTTATTGTATGGTTTAATTCTGAATTATTTTCATTATCTGTAATTCTGTAAATCAGCTGAAAGGGATAGTTCACCTAAAAATGTCCATCTGCTGTTTGGAATAAAGTTAATTACTGGACTTCATTGGCTGTTGATTTCGGTGTTATTCCCTTCACTTCAGAACAGCTGAAGTCTGCGGCATGTCCTGATTTTGAAGTGTTTCCTCACCTCTCCAGCAGATCCAGCCTCAGCTGGTGTCCATGCGGAAGAGTCAGCTGCTCCAGCCCCGAGCTCACTCCCATCATCCTCTGCATCTCCTTGGTAACGCCCAGTATCCTAGCAACCTGCAGATGGCCACACAGTTACACGAGCAATATATTCAACCCCATCCCTTTATTTCCACCCTAATATATTCACAGTCAGAACAGAAGACATTTAATTACCCTTGAACTCATCACATGATGAATGTGGTAAACAGCAGTGTGGAAAGAGTTGATTAACCCTGAAGGTTTAGATGTTAATGGAAGACAACACTGATGAAAGGTTTGGTGTGCCGTCCAGACTTTATCAGTCAGCTTCACGTGTGCCTTACATAATGTTGTCTGCTCTCATGAATCAGAAAACAGAATCAAGAACTTGAGAACCAATCAAATGTCATTCTGTCTGTCTGTCGTGGGGTTTACTGGTCATTTTTACTGTTTGTGTACTTCTTTGGGAGTGTTTGGAAATGTAAATGTGTATGAGAACTGGTAATGTTGTCCTGGGTCCTCCAACAATTCATGTAAGAATAATTTATTTAATAGTAAACAGTAATTCGCGACATCAGTCAGGTATCAAAAAGCACTAATAAGTAAATTGTGGTAAGTTGTGTGGTTAAAGAGATAGTTCACCCAAAAATGAGTTCTGTCATCATTCACTTGCCCTAAAGTTGTTCCAAACCTTTATTTCTTCTGTTGAACACAAAAGAAGATATTGTGAAGAATATTGGTAACAAAACAGTTGATGGTAGCCATTGACTTACATAGTATGAAAAAAAAAACACTATGGAAGTCAGTGGCTACCGTCAACATTTTTTAAAAATATCTTCTTGAGGGTGAGTAAATGATGACAGAATTTTCATTTTTGGGTGAACTATCCCTTTTAAGGGGGCTAGTCATGATATAGCAGAGATATATTTGGGCTTTAAGTTGAAATCAGAATCTGGCCCAAAACAAAGACCACGTGACCAGACCTGAAAAAAAAAGATCTCTTTTTTTCTATATGTACAGCTCTCACTGACTTATTAGATTTGATAATAAATATAAAATATAATTTTCTATAATTAACAATAATGCTGTATTTATTATTATTATCATTATTATTATTATTAGTTTTCATTCATTACAAATATGCACCCACCTAAAACCTATCTAAACCTATCTAACTAAAACCAACTAAAAGTCTATATATTAAAAACTGAACCTGGGTTATATGGGTAAAAATATGAAAAACACAATGGGTGTGTGTTTTTGACCTAGTTATGCATTTGTGAACAAAACAACTGAAAAATGTCTCTAGAAAACTGATTTAAAAATTCTCAGCAAGAAACTGTTAATTAATAGAAATTAAATAATATTTTTACTCAATTCTAAAAAAAAATGTATTTACTTAAAATTGTGCCTCACATCAAATCATCTGTAGGTGCATTGTATAAAATTCAAATATAAATGTAGGAACTCGAAAAAATTATTGTCATGACCCAAACTTGCATCATTATGAAATTTTATTAGTAACATTTCAGTCAATTGACCTTCTTCACTTGAAAAAGGTTCATTGACTGAACCATTGCTAACTATGGGTTTAAATGTGAATTTCGAGCTCTCATCGTTTTTGCAGTTATTATTCTCATTTTATTTTTCAATATTTATGAACAGGATTTTTGCCTGATGTGTTACTTGTTCCCATTACTGTATTATGATTTGTTTCAGATGGAGTTGAACTGGAGTTCGTGGATTGATTGTTTTATTATCAACACTTAACAATAATCTTTGCTTTGTATATAATTCCTGATAAACAGTGAAGCACCACACAGAAGAAGGTTAATAGCTGAAACGTGTTATAATGTGTTATTATCTCCTGCCAAAATTCAATAAATATTTTTTTAGAGTGCAGAATTTTTATTTTATGGTTACAGATGTATTGTTCAAGGCACCTAATTAGCGTGGTGATAAAATTTATTAAAATGCTAATAAAATGTAGTAATGTATAGGGAAACAGTAATATAGCCAGTGAGTGTCAGTTTCTTCTGATGGCAATCTATTTATTTGTGTTTTTTTTACCGTGCAGTCTGCCTTGGTGATGTGCTTGGCGGCTGTTTTGGGATCCACCTCTGCCAGAAGCTCCTTAACCCTCTTCAAAACACTCATCTCCAGAGGTTTATTCTCGGCTGGCAGAAGTGTCGACTGGTATTTCCCAGGCTTGAAGGAGGAGCTGGTCTCCATCAGGGGGAGCATGAAGCCCTCCACCCCATCTGGGGCTCCAGAGTCCGGATTTTGGCCATCCTCCACCCTCAGCCTCTCAACGTAGCTCTTGCAGGGAGGAATGGGGGCTTGACCGGGTCTCAGCTCACAGTAGCTGCCGCCCTGCTCTGAACTCTCAGACGGGTAACCGTGGGCAGGCGTGCAGTGGGTGCTGGGGGGCATGTCTGAGCAGGGAAGGTTGTTATTGGAGGAGGATGGCGAGAGATGTGGATCGCTGGAGCGCCGCATCACTGGAGAAGGCGGGATCACGGCGAGGACACGCCCACCTGAGCCATGTCTGTGGCGGGAGACTGGAGAAACAAACAAAATAACAGACTATTACGTGGTTCTCTGAAACGCTTGATTTTGATTGGTCAGTTGCAACATTCCGAGTCCAATTATTCCCAGATAATGACCGTCGTCAGTAAAAATGACTGCTCAGAGGTATCGGAGGCTCACTCTTCTTTCATGTCTGTCGTATCACACGACGGACATGCTCTCTCCGTTTCATTCAAATGCAGCTGGTGACCCTCAGTAACTGACTGCATTTAAAATAAAACCGGATGACTTCAGTATTAAGGGGGTGTTCACAAAGAATGCGTTTTTGAGGTTAAAAATGCGAGGCACTGGGTAGTGGAACGAAAACGTCTAGGGATGCGTTTTTAAAAAATGGAAGTTTTTTAAAAATGCATTTTTGCAGTCCACTGTCCATGTTTTTCTGTTAACATGCGGTATATGGACATGTTTGATCTTTTTTCTTGCATCTTTTGCAGCATCTCGCACATGACACGGCATACTATAAATGCAACGCTCAAGTTAAAAATTCAACTTAAAAAAAAACTGTCCATAGATCTTGCATTTTTCCGTTTCGTCATGCATTTTGCGGTTAAAAACACAAGATGCACAAGATGTTTTTCAAAAGTTTAACTTTTCAATAGTTCTGTGTGAATGGCCCCCAATAGTAGGCCTATGGTTATATTGTTGTAGTGTTCATTTCGTTGGCAGAAGGATTTTTTTGCTCACTGCTAGGCGCTGTTCACATAGAATGCATTTTTCTAATCCTCTGCGCTACTTTTCCATGTAAAAATGTGCTAGATCGACGTGTTTCTTCGTGGAAGCTTTGCGTTTAATGGCTAATAACATATTTCAAATCAAATCAGTAATTCACTTCGTGTCGAGGTCCTGATCACCCTGTCTAGGTTTATTTTGCTGGATGCACATTATCATTTACTTTTTGGGTGGGCTAATGGAATCAATGGGTTTAAATATTCAGATATATGCATGTGAATGTGTGTGTGGACTCACTGGAGCTGTAGGCAGGGGATAGCGGGCAGCGGTACTCTTGGATTTGATCCATGCTCATGGCGCAGTTCCTCATGGCATCCTTATGGTGCACTGTAGAGGGGCTGGAGAAGACAAACATGCTATTAAATCCTTCATTCTTTATGTCAAAACACATTTTACATGTCAAAACAATCAAGCATATAGCATTTTCAGCTTCTAATTTTGGTGGACAACTTATAAGCCACAGCTACAAGCTTTCTGAAAAACACATTCAGTGCTGCTAGAGACGACATGCACAGAAGCAGGTGAAGGGTTTCCATGTGGCCAAATCTGTTTGGAAAACAGAAGTGAGTGGGAGGGGGTCTGTGCCAGCTGTGAACACACACACATAAACACACACACACACCAGCTGCTGCCCTCCGCTGGTTTCACCTCTGGCTCGACTGTCTGAGACTCATCTGGCTCTGTAGGCTGGGCTGCACTGCTAATACAAGACATCCTACATGAGCACATCACTCATGCATCTTTGGCACGTGTGTACATGACCTATTAATATGCCTGATCTCAGACCTGAGATACCTGAACATATTCAAGATTTGGAAATATATTCTAAACATATACAGTATATATATATATATATATATATATATTTATTTTGAGACTTTGAACCAATTTAACTCCTGGTGGTCACTAAAAACACTAAATGAATATGGTCACAGAACAAAACAAAACACTTTAATATATTATTTTGAGCCTCTGAACCAATTTAACTCCTGGTGGTCCTTAAAAACACTACATGATTATGGTCACAAAACAAAACAAGGCACTATGAGTTAGCTACTTTATTATTTGAGAAGATGATGATGATGATGATGATGAAGGTCTACCTGTGAGGAATGATCTTCTCTGTGGTCAGTCCATCCGTCATGGTAACGCTTCGTCTCTTGATGTGCGCCCCCCTCTGGGTCGATGGTGAATGTGCAGATCCTGGTCTCCCACCAGCCAAAGCAAATGTCGCCTCCAGGTACCTCAGCGGCAGCATTCGGTTGACCGGACACAGCAGCTGGGCTCCAGTGCGTGGGCACACGGGTCGACCCGTGCCAGCATGGTGCCTGACCAGCATGGGGACAGAGTCGAAGCTCTCATGCTCCAGCATGTACTGGATTTTGGTTTGCCCGCTTTTGACCAGGACTTTACTGATCCAACAGTGGATCACGTCCTGCTGCCAGCGACACGTGAGGACATAGTCGCCCACGCTTGACAGGGAGTCCCGTACGAGGAAGTCACCGCTACGCAGAACCAAAGTTTCTGAGGCCTGTGTTGACACAAATAAAAGAAAAGGGATTATTAAAGGAAATGTTGCGAGCTGGACTCAAACCCACATTTCCCACATAAGCACCACAGCTCACTTTTTCCCCAGAACATTCCAGTGGAAATGTGTAATTTGTTTTTTAAATAAACACATTTTAAATGAAAAGAAATTAATTAAAATTACTTTCTGTGGTAATCGAAAGCATTCTTTATTCTGTTTTTGTTGACATTTGCGTTAACATTTTTACATCAGTGTGTTAGCAACTGAATCAATAGAATAACTTGTGTATTCTACACAAGTTTTAAAAGATAGTTGATTAAATGCCACAGATGTGATACTTTATGTGCTACATGCCTCTGCGCCAGCAGATGGCACAACAGTACATTTGGTGAGGTCAGAAGTGCAGCATGGGGGCGTATCGCCATGGCGACTAGCTATAGTTTTTAAAAGAGGGGACTGGAGTTTCTCTTTACTCCAGCTTGGGCAGGAATACATTATGCTAATGCCCAGATGGCTGCTCTCATAGTAGAGACAGCGTGGGCTGTAGTTTGACGGCTCTATGGTGCAAAAAAGGACACAAACACACTCTCTCACACACACGCCGACAGAAAAACCCAAACATGCACAAAACAAGCAAATATACAATATACAAACACATGTATAGAATGCACATAGAAAATACTGTAAAACTGCTAACAAAGGTTTTAATTGAACAACTTCTCCAGTTACATGCACACTTGTTTGGACATCATAGTGTGGACTTCCCTTTGACATCCATTGTTCTCAATGTTGAGGTGTGTAATGTTTTTGAAGTTAAAATACTTTCATCCATTACCATTTAATATGCAGAGACAACTGGAAGTCATTTGTAGGCGGTTTCCTGAAGAGTGAAACACTGGTACTTTCAAAACATTGCTCCATTTGTTTGAGAGAACAGTTTGAGATTTTGGGAAGGTATAGCCATAGATGGCAGAGAGTCCTTTCACTGAATATGAGATGCATATTGCACACGAACACTGAGTGAAATCACCAGCTCAAATTTGATCGGCTTGATTTACGCAACTTCCAAGATTAAGAACTTAACGTTTCTTTAATGGCATTGATGGTTCCATGAAGAACCTTTAACATCAACTGAACCTTTCCATTGAACAAAAGGTTCTTTATAGTGGAAACAAAAGGTAAAAGTTTCTGTAAAATTCTTCAGATTATTAAAATGTTCTTCACACTTATAAACAAACTGTTCACTGTAAGGTCCCGTGGGTTCTTTTGGGGTTCTTCTATGGTATCACTGCAAAAATTACTTTAAACTACAAATTTGCAACTGCGAGAAGTGAGACATAAACTCACAATTCATTTTTTCCTCACAATTACGAGTTTACATCTCAATTCTGACTTTTTTCTCAGAATTGCGAGATATAAACTTGCAACTGTGCAGAATTGCAGGGTATAAACTTGCAGTGGTGAGAAATAAAATTGGAATTGTGAGATATAAACTTGCAATTCGGACTTTTTTTTCCTCAGAATTTTGAGATATAAACTAGCAATTTCATGATATAAAGTACAATTTAGATGAAAAAAAAGACCCACTATTTTCTTACCATTGCAAGTTTATATCTCACAATTCTGACTTTATAACATGTAATTGCGACTTTATATCATGCAATTCTGAGAAAAAAGCTCAGAATTGAGAGATGTTAACTGTGAGATAAAAAGTCGCAATTACCTTTTTTATTTTTATTCAATGGCAGAAACGAGCCTGGTTCATTATTGTGGTATAATCAATTTGACACAAATCCACCTCCAAATCCAAAATTAACTTCCAAAATGAAATGTCGTTTTACACGACAGTTTCTTTTTGTCTAAGGATCCAGAATAGGTTGCAAAGTGGACCAGACCCTATTCCTTTTAGTCAAAATTCTGGCTGCGTGAGATTGTACCACAGCAAATCTTGACCCACAAACGCACCTCTCGTGGAATATGGCCATGGTACCAGCCGTGGCTCCTCATGTCACTGCTACTGAGTTTGAGCTCCTCCTCCAGCTCCTTCCTGAGTTTCTCCGGAGGCGACTCCAGCAGGTACTTCTCCTTGGAGAACTGCAAAAAACACACAAAACCAACAGATAAGTCACACTGCCCTACTTCATGAACACACAAATATATGATACGGCAAACTATTGATCACTCTGAGAAAAAAACAATTGTAAGGTTTATTGCCTCACTCATCAAACTGACGTATCAATCCATACGAGAAATTAAAAAGTAATTTGAGTCACATAGAGCTTCACTGCACATAGTTCTTCTTTATAATTTATGTAACATCTAACCATGTTGCTAAAATCAAATAAAAGCATACAAATACACAATGCAGGAAGAGACTTGCTTGCCTCACTCAAAGAACCGTCCCAAGTGTGTCCTTTTAGACAACAGCACTCTGTGTCCAGTAGAAATAATGCGTAATCTATGAGTGTGACAGTTCAAGGCGAAGGTGTCGACCCTCTGTGACACAGGAAAACTAATCCAAACACAGGCGGCATTGTAATGAAGTCAATAAAAAGACAACGGACAAAGCTTAGGGCACTAACAGGGCTCAAAGTCAGTGAATATGGGAGATGAGGGATCAGTTTTGCAATCCTGGGTCACTCTAATGGTCTCTCCCTCTCTGTCTGAGGTACTGATTAAACATCTGATTGCTTTCCCTTTTTTCGACCGCCTTTTACACATGGGAACAGGAAAAGATGCTAGATTTCAGCAATCCATTTAACTGGTTGTGTGTGTATGTGTGTGTAAAGTGTAGAAAGATAGTGAGGCAAGGTCAAGTGTAGGGAGTTATTGCTTTTGTCTCTGCCTCCAGGGGCCGAATCCACCACCTGGGCCTAACCAGACCTCTCCGTAATCTCATATAGACGTCTGTAATTGTCTTTTGCTGCTTGAAGATGGCCACAAGGTACAATATTCTGGTCTCATATTCTAGATTTGGGACCATAAGGAAACCCCAGTGTGTGAGCGATAACAGTGCTAGGCTGATATTAGTACTTCATATCTTCATATTGACTTATGAGAGGTGCCTCTCACAGGAGACAGATGACCCTTTTCCAATTTTTTTGAAATTCTCTCCTCCAACTTTATTAGTGTTTATTCAAGGAGTGAGTTAACTTTTATATAAGGTTTCGCCCAAACTGTGCTTCCGAGAGAACAGATAAGAAAAAAATAAGATGAGCTGAGAAAAGCAGCAAGGCAAGACAAAATACAAAAAGAAGAGGTGAATCATGACAAGAAAAGAGATGAGACAAAATGAGAAGAGACAAGACGAATAAAGTGAAGTATGACAAAACAAAGCAAGAAATTATGCAAATGATGAGACAAGACGACATGAAGCGAAGTGAGATGAGACAAGAGCAAGACAAAACAAGGCAAGAAAGGTTGAAAACAAGAGATGAATTGATACAAGAAGAGCTGGGACAAGATGAGAAGAGAATGGTCTAGATGAGTAAAGACAAGATGAGACAAAGTGAGGTATGATGAGACGAGCTAGACAAGATAGGAAAAGGAGGTGAATTGAGACAAGAAAATAAATTATACAATAAGAGAAGATATGAGAAAAGACGAGACGAGAAAGTGAGGTGAGATGAGACAAAAGCAAGACACAAGACAAGAAATGATGCAAAAACAAGAGAAGAATTGAGATAGGAAAGAAGAGATTGGGCAAGATGAGAAGAAAGGAGATCAGAAAAAACTAAAGATGAAGTGAGGTAAGATGAGACAAGAGTTACAAAAAAGCAGATGCGAATCAAGACAAGAAAAGAGGAGATGAGATGAGATGAGAAGAGACAAGACAAAGCACTGCAAGGTGATATACAAAAGGTGAAAAGAGACAAGACAAGAGCAAGACAAATTTTGTCAAGATGAGAAATTAAAGGAAGTGAGATGAGACCAGAAAATAAGAGATGAGACAAGATGAGAAGAGATGAAGACCTGGCAACACAAGACAAAAGGAGAGATGAGAAGATGTGAGGTGAGATGAGACGAGATAAGAGGAGAGCAGAATAAAGCATTGTGAGGAACTGAAAGAAGAGATGAGACAAGATGAGATCAGAAGAGAAGAGACAAAATGAGACAAAATTAGGGTGAGATGAGACAAGAGCAAAGAAGACAAGGCAAGATAAGATATGGAAATACAAGATGAATTGAGCCAAGAAAAGAGAAGTTCAAGTTCACATTTATTTGTAAAGCACATTTAAAAACAACAAGTGTGGTACCAAAGTGCTGTACAATTGTAAACAGTTTTGGCAAGATAAAAATAAAAACAAACACATAAGATAAAAATAAAACATGCAGATAAGCCATAAACAACTAAAAAACCCCAATATGTAACACCATTGGCTAAAGAGAAGATGAGACAAGACAGAGGTGAGATAGATGATGAGATTAGATGAGATGAAGCACTGAAACATGACATAAGGAGAAGTGAAAAGAGCTGAGGTGAGACGAGACGAGACAAGAGCAAGACAAATTCTGGCAAGATGAGAAAGTGTAGGAAGTTGTGGTGAGACCAGAAAAGAAGAGAAGAGAGTAGCGACGAGAAAAGAGATAAGCAAAGATGAATCCTGGCAAGACAAGAATAAAGGAAAGATGAGAAGATGTGAGGTGAGATGAAAAAAATAAAGCAAGGCATTGTGACAAACTAAAAGATAAGATGAAATCAGAAGAGATGAGAAAGGACATAGGAGCTAAGGAATAAGCCTTAGCAAGCATGCATTGTCATTTCTGCAGAGTTTCATTCATTAAAGAGCCTGAAGAGAGATTGAATGAGATCAAGCTGCGTTCTGCTTTCAAACACTGATGTCTGAAGACTTCAGAGAGACACCTGGGCTGTTTCAAGTCCCCTTGCCCCACTTAGAGCTGCTCCTGGAGGGCTAAAATGTCTTTCTCACTGCCCTCTTTCTTCTACAGAGAAAGCACTTCTGGCAGTCTAATGAAGCGCATGCTGGGGGAAATGACCTGACCACATGCACAAACACACACACACACACATAAATGCACAATGTAACCTCAGGGACAGGGGACAGAAAGAAATTCAAGATACAGAGGAGATAGAAGGAGAGATGGAAAGGGGGTGATAGGGCCTATGCTGCGCACACACCCCCAGCACTGAAGCTCTGGTTGTCATGGAAACTTCCTATTGTGTGAGTCGGCCTGGTGCCTTCATATGTCTCATGCACCACACACACATACACACCTCAAGCATTTTACAAAGCAAGAGGCCAATGCATTGTGAAAAACAATTATACTTCCTGGAACATGACAGGGCACAAGCAGCAAAGAGACAGCACTGACAGTAAACTTTTTGGGACATAAAATCTACATTTCTCAGTTAGTTTAGTGCAGTCTAATTGTTATGCTGTTGGATACCCAAATGTCAATCCAATCAGATATGCTTTCCCACGTTTTCCAGAGGACAAATAAACCGGAAAGCATGGGTTCTGAAAATCAGACACAACCTTCAACAAAACAGTCACCAAATAGTAGGATTCGGACCCCAACCAGTTCCATCTGGACCTCAAATCATTTCTCACAAATTAATATTGTCATAAATATATTTTGTGTTCACAATTTTAATAGAAATGGATTTCTGTTGAAAATAAAGTAGATACAGAAGTATTTACCCAGAAATGGCTACTTAAGGTAACAACTGCACATTTTCACATTTCACCATGTATACTAGACTAAGCAGCAGTTTGTAGACTACTTTGTCTATGTAGGATTTATTATTTCACATTTTTACAAAGTACTATTGCTGCCAACTTGGAAATGTACAATAATGCACACTGCTCATTTCATTTAATAAGCATTTAAGCCATATTTGCTAAGAAGGAAATGCAGTTCCTGAACCTCCTAAAACTTTAATTGAATATCTCTGACCTAGAACCTTACGATATATTGAACGAATTGTACTCGTGTCTTTCATAACTGTGCTTTTGTCAAATTAAATATGGCATCTATGGAAGGTCTATGATGCCACTCTCTAGAGACAATATCCTTTTATTAAATAATTCCATTTGTACTACAATGAACTATGAATACTTATGCTTGGAAATTTTAGTCAAGGTTGACATGATAGCATTATATGATCGTTCTCGATCATTGCCTGCTAGTTTTTTTTTCTGAGAAGTTTTTAGTTGATTTGTGAATTTTTTTGTCTCCTATTGCATCTTGTGGGACACATTTGCCTGAAAATCCCTGGGTAAATTCATGCACAAACACCAACCCATTCAGAGGTGTTTATCTTCAAACCCCCATGGCTTGTCATGAATAACATCCAGCATGATTCATCACCCAATTTCACTCAATACCCCCATTCTCTTCTTCAGCCAATCACGGCATTCCATTTAACCAAGACACCCACCCACATACTTCCATTTCTACCAATCGGAAGAGCCTTCGCAATCACTCAGATCGCGTGTGATTGCAGCTGCTCCTCTGGGTGAAAGGAAAGACATATACGCAAAAAACCATTAGGCCGACACGAACCGCAGATATGGCAGATAAAGCTTCACAGGTCAGCGCCTGTCATTGAGTCTGCTCTCTGGGGTAGAGCTAATCCAGTCGGCGTTTCTGAGCACTGACCCAATGCTGTGATAGATAACAGGACAGCTGATGTTAAAATCACCTGCCACACTGATGTAGAATATGATTTAGACCATAAAACATACTTTGGAAATGTCCAAAAGTAGATGTGAATGCTCAGCCAACACCTTGCAAGCAATTGGTTCCTTTGTACATGCTTAACGCATGTTCTTGGATAACTGTGGTAGAAACAAACCTCCGTATTCAAGGGAGTGACAGAGGCACCTGTGGCATTATTATTTAGGGAGCTAGCTACAATCATGATGACAGTTTAAGGCATCGTTCATCTAAAAATGAAGATTCTGGCATTGTATAGACATAAAAAAGCATTTCTTTAATTTCAGCAACATTTTGTGGTAAAAAAAAGTCAGTTGTTTATTGCCAATAGAGTGGTGATGTATGAAGCACAGCTCACACAGAAGTCACTTTCAAACCAAGCAGCTTTCTGATGGTCAGTGAGACAAATCCAA